CCCTCATTCGACGGAAATTTTCAAAAGGAATACAATTAAAACATTGCGAGGGGGCATTTATCTCCACCGGCCCCAACAGCTCCAAATTAAGAAATTTTCACTTTTTCACTTTCACCGCTCTCTCTCCCAAGCCAATTGATTTTCTTAGAGTTTTGGTATGCAATCCTGTTATTTTTTGCAATACCTTTCGATAGGTGTATCATTCATTATGATCGGACCATCACAGTAGATTTTCATTTCTTCGTGTATATATAGTAGTCGCCTTCGCACACTCTCCTGGTGCGCTTCGTCACTACATGGACTGCCGTCTATAGTGATATATCAAAATTTAAGGAATCTAAAGGGCTATACAGTTTAAGGTTTTAAAGAAAATCGTTAGAGACGTTTTTGAGAAAAATAAAAAAAAGCTAAAAAAAAAGTTTTAAAAAATTGTCTTTTGTTCATATTTCTTTAAGTATTACATTTACACAAATTGCATATAGAAGGCGTTTATAGCATTTAAAAATACCTTTCAAACGAGATGCAGCACAAGCCTGTAGCTTTAGTAGTATAGAAGTTACGGCTTTCCGAATTTTAGCTATTTATAGCTGTTTTCCTGCTAAACTAGCGGGTTTTTCCAAAAGTGGTAGAACAAAAGTTTTTTATATCGATGTGATGAACGTCATATCAAATTTTCAGAACTTAAAAAACATATTTTGGACAAACTGACAAGCGGACAAACTCACAAACAGAATTAAATTTTCATTTTGGGAAGAAGAAGAAAATCTTATTTTGGCTATAACTTTTGAACGGAGCGTCGGATTTTATCATATGACCCCTCATTCGACGGGTATTTTCAATAGGAATACAACTAAAACATTGCGAGGGGGCTTTTATCCCCACCGGGGATAACATAAAAAAATGTAAAAAAAAATCAAAAATTTTTTTTCTTAAAAATAAATCAACATTTTTTTTACTTTTTAATTTTTTTCAGTGTTCTTCACCAGCTATAGAGTTTAAAACCATTTGAAAATAAAGTTTGATTCATTACGAAAAAGATAAAAAAAAAAAAAAAATTGGCCCGGCCAAAGGTTTTTTGCAATATCGATTTGAAGAAGGCAAAAAGTGCCTCATTGACAGCTGCAGTCGGCTGACGCTACGCGCGCAACGGCATGTGTTGACCAGCCAATTTTCACGAGCAAGCTGTTTTTGTATGGAAAACCGCTGTGCGCCCTTCTTCAAATCGATATTGCGAAAAACCTTTGGCCGGGCCACTCTTTTTTTTTTTGGATCTTTTTCGTAATGAATCAAACTTCATTTTCAAATGGTTTTAAACTCTATAGCTGGTAAAGAACACTAAAAAAAAAAACTAAAAAAAAAAATGTTGATTTATTTTTAAGAAAAAAAATTTTGATTTTTTTTTTTAATTTTTTTATGGAAAGCCATAATAATTCTTGAGCGATTAGTGAAAACATCATAAAGATATCTCATACCGTTCCGAAGTTATGAATTAATGACTGAGTGCAACTTTTTCGAAAAAGTGTCAAAAATGCCATGTTTTGACCCCTATAACTCCGGTAAAACTCAAAATTTCGCAAAACCGTTCAAATGAAGTTCTTATATTTTCGTTGTGAACCGGAAAAGTAAAAAAGTTCGATGAAAATCGGACCTTCGGAACAGGGGTGGCCCACTTGGCAGATTTTGACTCTTTATCAATACCTATCGAAATTTAGAAATTATTCAAATCTTAACATTCGTTAGAAAGTTATGCGCGACCAATGTTGTATATCTCCATCTCCCTCGCACTACCTTTAGCTGAGTAACGCGTATATGATAGTTGAAGTACTCGACTATAGCATTCTCTCTTGCTTAAAGTCGCTTTTAAACCGTTTTTTTTTTAACGTTAAGGTTAAAGAAAAACCTCCTAACAATACGACGGAAAAAACTGTCGGGTGGGACATGATCGTGTGACAGTCACTTTAATGCAAATAAAACAAGAGAAAACGCTATAGTCGGGTGCCACGACTATCAGATACCCCGTTACTCAGCTAAAGAGAGTGCGAGGTATTTGGAGATATAAAACTTTTATCGGGCATAACATTTTAACGAATGGTCCGATTTAAAAAATGTCTTCTACATTTTGATAGGTATTGACTAGAGCTCTGCATGAATGAACAGTGCTAGGATCATTCTGTCACAGTATGTTTCATATGTGTAGGTGATTCGTATGATTCGAAGTTTCAAAGTTTCGAAACATAGTAGACGAAATATCTCGAAACAATTAGGCAGTATGTTTCATATGTTTAAATGTTTCGAACAATTCGAGATAATTCGAAACACTGCGTAGGCAAAACGCCTACTGTGAATAAAAAAAAAAATTTTTTAGTTAACATATCAGTCCAAACGTCTGAGAAACCAAACGATCTTACAGGATACGATCCTGCTTAACTTAAGATACCTCGTTTTGAAATAATTTCCTTATGTTGCGAGAAATTGTGGTTGGATGGGGTACACTTTTTGATGTCGACTGAGGACCCAATCCGAGCACCAATTCCAACTAAAACTTTTGCCAAATCCAAGAGGCCTTCATCTGTAACTATTTGAAAAGGTCGACAATTTTTAACCGACCATTTTGATAGAGCTAAAGTAATTTAAGCGTCTAATACGGTTTTTCCAAAGCACTAGATGACGGCGATGACCTCTCCTTCAAATAATTTACATTTTGCATTCACATATTCCAATTAGAGTGACCAGCTTTTTTCCCAAAGAAGCAGGAGTGTTGAACACACGGCGGCGGCGCCATCTATGGCACGGAATTGGTACTGTTTATACAGAAAACTGTGGGCACCACGGCTTTTTGCGGTTTGTGGGCGTGGCACCTTGATAAAATTAACTTGCGCTGCGTAGGAAGCCCAAGAATATCTGTGGGAAATCCCAACCTTCTAGCTTTTGTAGTTTCCGAGATCTCAGCGTTCATACAGACAGACATACGGACAGACGGAAAGACGGACATGGCTAGATCGACTCGGCTAGTGATCCTGATCAAGAATATATATACTTTATGGGGTCAGAAACGTCTCCTTCACTGCGTTGCAAACTTCTGGCTGAATTCATAATACCCTCTGCAAGGGTATAAAAATCGCCAGTGAAGCAAATCCATATGCGATTTTATAAAATTCAGGGCGATTCATTTTTTGAGTGTTTAAAGGTGTGGGCGCTAGACACCTTTAAGGATCGTTTAAGGCGATTATGGGCGTTAGAGAGGGCATGGACCTCGGCTTAAACAAACCTGCGCTGCGTAAGAAGCCCAAAAATATGTGTGGGTAATCCCAACATTCTCACTTTTGTAGTTTCCGAGATCTCAGCGTTCATACAGACAGACAGACGGGCATGGCTAGATCGACTCGACTAGTGACCCTGATCAAGAATATATATACTTTATAGGGTCGGAAATGCTTCCTTCTAGCTCTTACATACTTTTGCACAAATACAATATACCCTTTTACTCTACGAGCAACGGCCATAAAAAAAAATACTCAATATTTTGTAACAAAGCCTAATACATTTTAAAGAAAAAATAACAAGGGAAAATTACCCGCAATAAAATATTCCTTCACGTTTCGCTCCAATCGAAAGTTGAGCTGGAAGTCAAAAAAGTAACTTGGAATTTTTAATATATCTTAAAAACGAATAACGGCCCAAATTCAGCCTTAGCACGCATTATAGTGCTAATCAAGTCCTTTAATTCGAGCCTAGTGTCAAAATAAAAGAAGTCCTGGAAGATGTTTTTCACCTGCAAAGCTTACGAATGTCGCGTGCAACAGCAGAGATTTGCCCATATGTATCTTACCTTAACATCACCTTAAAAATACCTTACAATCCTTTTTATCAAGCAGTAAGCACTGTACCGCGAGCGGTTCCGCGCCGCAAAAATTCCTGCCCGTTGGTTTATGTTGGAGAGAGATCTTCAGATGTGGCAGAAAGCGGCGATAGCAGACCCGGAGTGATTACCACCAAAAGCGGGAAGATTCTTAAGCAATTGACCTTCGACGAAACTTCAACAATGTAAGTGCTAATATTGAAGAGTTCCTAAAACTGAAAAGAATGAAGCAAAAAACCTATTCCTGAAGATTTTATTATATTCCTGAAGATAATATTATATTATATTATATTGTAGTATCTTGACATTAATTTTTCGATCTGTCTGTCTGTCTGTGCCCAAGAATATGTGTGGGTAATCCCAACTTTCTAGCTTTCGTAGATTTCGAGATCTCAACGTTCATCCAGACAGACAGACAGACAGACAGACAGACATGGCTATTTCGATTCGGCTAGTGATCCTAATCAAGAATACATATGTATACATACTTTTGCAGGAATACAATATACTCTACGAGTAACGGGTATAAAAATACTGTAATTTATTTTTAGGAAAAATAATTTTTAAAAAAGGGTTATATTTATATTTTATAAAAATCTTATACAATTCTTGACCCATTAGCGAAAACATCATAAAGATATCTCTCGTCGTTCCGAAATTATACAAAAAAGAGTGATTGCTCCTTTTTCGAAAAAGTGCCAAGCATGCCATCTTGTGACCGCTATAGCTCCGGTAGAACTCAAAATTTCACAAAACCGTTCAAATGAAGTTTTTATTTTGTCGTTGTAAACAGAAAAAGTCAACAAGTTCGATGAAAATCGGACCTTCGGAACAGGGGTGGCCCACTTGGGAGATTTTGACTCAATAGCATAGTCTGCGCATGCTCCCAGAATTTCCCAAAATGAATTCCAAGGCGGCATAAAAGTTGTAAAACAAAACCCAAAACAAACTGCGCGGAGTGACCTAGCAAAGAGAAAACAGTGAACAACCCCTAGAAGTACACCGCACTCGAGGCCATTGCCGTGAACTTTTCAGAGCAGATTTAAGCGGCAAAGGGTTCAGACTACTACAATAGGAAAAAGTGCAGTCCCGTTATAGGGCTGTCTGTGATGAAGAATTCTAGATAATCCTATATGACGGCTTTTAAATATTAATTGTTAGTTCAATAATCCAAAGATAAAATTAGCGATTAGGGTGTGTCCTGTTCTAAATTTTCTTCTGAAAAATGGGCGTAGCTGGTAAGTAATAAGACGAAGATATATCTTTCCAAAGATCAAAAACGAACGCATTGCGGTGGTATAAAATTTAAACTAAGTTATTTGATTGCCTCTTCAAAGTCCATTATAATACAGCATTATGCTACAATTTGAGTTTAGTATTTTTGCACTTTGACTTCACACATATAGATTAGTTCATATAACAAAGACCAAATCCTTTGGGAGTAAATTTCCTTTTCTACAATAAAATTACCCAAAATAAGGGAATTTAACTCTCACCCTCATTGCCTCATGACAGCTACGAGGAACTGAGACCGCGGTCCAGGTGCAATAGTCCCCGTTGGGCCATCGATTACAGCAGGATGGAGAGCTATGGCAGCAGCACTGTCTCCACTCCGCTGGCGTCCGCACAGCCCAGTCCCAGTGAGCAACAGGAGGCCATTGCCCTGAAAAAGGCGCTCGAGTGGGAGCTGAGCCTGGACGCTCGCGAACTGCGATCCCACGCGTGGTACCACGGATCACTGCCCCGCCAACGAGCCGAGGACATCGTACAGCGCGAGGGCGACTTCCTGGTCCGTGACTGCGCCTCCCAGCCGGACAACTACGTGCTCAGCTGCCGTAGCAAATCAGCCGTTCTGCATTTCGTACTTAACAAGGTGAGTCCAGAATAGGCATCTAATAATGTTAATTGTTGCCAAGGTCCAAGTTTTCAATGGACGGAAAAAAATATATATCTAATATTTCTGTAAATTTCAGTTGGTGCTACAGCCGGAGACAGTTTACGAACGGATGCAGTTCCAATTCGAAGAGGATGCCTTCGACACCGTTCCCGACTTGATTACTTTTTACGTGGGATCCGGCAAGCCCATCTCGTCGGCGTCGGGGGCTCTCATTCAGTTTCCCTGTAATCGCACGTATCCGTTATCCTTCTATGGCCACAAGATCGTGGGCAACCAGCTACACTCGCAGATGCTGGCTGGTCTCCGAGGTCTGAGTCCTCTTAACTCGCCGATGGCCAGCAATGGGGGTGTGGGAACTGGCGTGGCCGGGGCCTTTCGCTTCGACCCCCAGCAGCAGCAGCTTTCTCCGCGGGCCAGCTCTCCGGCTAGCCCACACTGCTCGCCTCCACGTGCACGACGTGAGGTTCCTCCACCGCCGCGGCTGCCTTGCAAGAAGCAACAACGCTCGCAGAGCCTCACGCCAGCCCAGGCAATGTTGGTCAGCAACATCAACAAGCTTCAGGAACAGCAACAACAGGTGCAGGAGCTGGAAAACGGAAATGGGAACGGCATGGTCCGCTTTCAGACGATCGCCAGGTGTAACCCCACGAGCGAGCACCACCTGGAGAGCAAGTTTACCACGCACTCACTACCCAGACCCAACACTTCTGCGGCGCAGGCGATGCGCCAAAATGCAGTGTCCCGGATCTCGAGCTTGGCGAGGAACTGCAGCCTCGACTCGCCAGCGGACTCTCGACCGCCCAGTCCGCCGCCCAAGCCGCGCAAGGAACCCATGGCAGTAGTACTGGCGTACCAAGCCAGTGGATCCGATTCGGGGAACGGCTCCGGGGACTCGGCTCTGGGAGATGTCTGTGAACCAAGCATACAGCGGGGAGTGATAATCAAGAATCCCCGATTCATGGCCACTTCGGTCTCTAACGGGGCGCTGAAAAGTTTCTCAGACTTTGATGTCCTTGCCGCCGAAGAGGAGCTGTTTACTATGGCAATTGATGAAGTTAGATCGGTAAGTATAACAGGTTATTTATAATTTAATTCATACTCCTCCAGAGTGTAGCGAAATATAGAAAAAATTCTGAAAACTTATAAAAAGAAGTGGCTAAATGGACTTGGCTAGTGATTCCTATCAAGAGTACATATTTTTATACCCGTTACTCGTAGAGTAAAAGGGTATACTAGATTCGTGCAAAAGTATGTAACAGCTAGAAGGAAGCGTTTCCGACCACATAAAGTATATATATTCTTGATCAGGGTCACTAGCCGAGTCGATCTAGCCATGTCCGTCTGTCCGTCTGTCCGTCTGTCTGTCTGTCCGTCTGTCCGTCTGTATGAACGCTGAGATCTCAGAAACTACAAAAGCTAGAAGGTTGAGATTTCCCACACATATTCTTTGGCTTCCTACGCAGCGCAAGTTTATTTTAGCCGAGCGCCACGCCCCCTCTAACGCTCACAATCGCCCACTAACGATTTTAAAATGGGTCCTGCGCCCACATCTTTAAAGATTTCCGAGAAGTATAAATGCAATTTTGTTGTGTATATTTATACCTATCGAAATGTAGAAGACATTTTTCAAATCGGACCATTCATTAAAAAGTTATACGCAATCAAAAATTATATATCTATCTCCCTCGCACTCCCTTTAGCTGAGTTACGATTATTAGTCGGGACACCAACCCGACACAGCGTTCGCACTCCCTTTAGCTGAGTGACGGGTATTTGATAGTCGGGACAACAACCCGACTATAGCGTTCTCTCTTGTTATACTTTGCACAGAACGCTGGAATCTTTTGGAATTTCAAAATGAAAGCCTTGCAAACTGTTTTTTTTAAGATTTTACAAAATGTTAAAGTGCAACATTACAAACAATTTAATTCTGCAAACAAATAAAAAATAAAAATTGGTCATATATGATTTGATTTCACACTACAGACTCGCTATCTCAGCGCTCATATGGACAGACAGATCCTGTGACCCTGATAAAGAATATATATGTGCTTTATGGGGTCAGAAACGCTTTCTTCTACCTGTTACATACTTTTGCACGAATACAATATTGCCTTTTACTCAAGTCCCTCGCACTCCCTTTAGCTGACTTACAATTACACCAGTTTACAAAAAAAATCGATGAAATATACCATGAATGAAACCTTTGTTTTCCGGTAAGGTACGTCTTCCTGATTAAGAAATTGGCACTTAAAATTTTTTTTATGGATAAAATTTTTTTTAAAGTGTAAAAAACGTTTTTGACCCTTTTTTAATTTCTAACTTGAGTTGTGGTTAACCGATTTCAACCATAATTCACTCATTTTACAGGTAATAGAATGCCCTCCAACTTTCTTATACATTGCATTGAGTTCAATTCATTAGTTTGGAAGCTACATTTCGTCAAAGTTGAAAAAGTTAGAAAAAAAGCAAAAATGCTGGCATAAATGGCTTCGTTAAAAATACACGCCTAAAAACCGAAATTAGTTTTATAACTTCTACTGGTAGAAGGTGCTTTGACAAAAGAAACAAGCTATTGATCATTAGAATCCACCAGCAAATTAATTTGATATGCATTTTTGAAGCTTGCGACAACGGTGTTTTTTGGCCGTTTACAGCTGTTAACTGACCTAACAGGGCTCTAACAGGGCTGTAATATCCGTTTTTCCCAACGTAAAAACTTGATATAAAATCGAGCTATTGATTGATTTTTTTGTTGATGGTCTTGTTAGTTGACTGAAAGATGTATCTTTAAGAATAAGTCATAAAAATAATTTCGGTTTTTAGGCGTGTATTTTTAACGAAGCCATTTATGCCAGCATTTTTGCTTTTTTTCTAACTTTTTCAACTTTGACGAAATGTAGCTTCCAAACTAATGAATTGAACTCAATGCAATGTATAAGAAAGTTGGAGGGCATTCTATTACCTGTAAAATGAGTGAATTATGGTTGAAATCGGTCAACCACAACTCAAGTTAGAAATTAAAAAAAGGTCAAAAACGTTTTTTACACTTTAAAAAAAATTTTATCCATAAAAAAAAATTTTAAGTGCCATTTTCTTAATCAGGAAGACGTACTTTACCGAAAAACAAAGGTTTCATTCATGGTATATTTCATCGATTTTTTTTTGTAAACTGGTGTTATTAGGTAGTCGGGACACCAACCCGAGTACAGCGTTCGCACTCCCTTTAGCTAAGTGACGGGTATTAGATAGTCGGGACACCAACCTGACTAAAGCGTTCTCTCATTAGCTCATAGGAGCTAATATATACATTTTAATTAAAATTAATCAATCTTTATTGTATTTAAAGGAATTAAGTTAAAAAGGCGTTGAAGTATTTCAAAATACCTTTTAAACGAGGTATAGCACATGTCTGTAGCTTTACTAGTGTAGAACTTACAAACTAACGAAATTGAGCTATTTTTAGCTTTTTTCCCGCTAAAGCAGCGGGTTTTTTCCAAAAGTCGTAAAACAAAAGTTTCCTATTTGGAACTCCTTAAAACAATTGAAATGATTCCATGAACCTAAAATACACTTTGGATACGCACACACAAAATTCAATACTCAGGGAGCGTTAGTTGTTCGAGCTGGCAATAGTGGCTATTTTCGTTTCAAAATAACATATAAACGTGACTTTTTAGAGTAATGTGCTATATACTAAAATTTAAGGAATCTCAAGGGCTATACAGTTTAAAGTTTTAAAGAAAATCGTTTGAGCCGTTTTTGAGAAAAAAAAGCTAAAAAAATCATTTTAAAAATGTTTTGTTTTGCCATAATTTTTAAAATATTGTACTTAGACAAATTACGTTTAGAAGGCGTTTATAGTATTTCAATTAAATACCCTTACAACAAGGTATAGTGCAAGTCTGTAGCTTAGGTAGTACAGAAGTTACGGCCTTTCAAAATTTCGCTACTTATAGCAGTTTTCCCGCTAAACTAGCGAGTTTTTCCAAAAGTGGTAAAGCTACTGTTTCTTACATCGAGCTGTTTTACACCATATAAAATTTCCAGGACTTTAAAAACATGTTTTGGGACATACAGACAAACTGACAAACAGAATTAAATTTTCTTTTTGGGAAGAAGGAGAAAATCTTCTTTTGGCTATAACTTTTGAACGGAGCGTCGGATTTCAACATGTGACCTTGACATTCGACGGGTATTTTGAAAATACTTTTTTCAATAGGAAAACAACTAAAACATTGCGAGGGGGCATATATTCCCACCGGCCCCAACAGCTCCAAATTTCGAAATTTTCACTTTTACACTTTCACCGCTCTCTCTCCCAAGCCAATTGATTTTCTTAAAGTCTTAGTAAGCAATCCTGGTAGTTTTTGCAATACCTTTCGATTGGTGTATCACCAAAGATATTATAAACACTAAGATGTGTAACGAGGAGCAAGAAAATGTACGGAGGCAGCGTCATATTTGTCAAATGCGACTCACACGTATTCAGTCTATTTTTAGAATGCCGTTTCTTGACTTCTCTCTCTCTCTCTCTCTCTCGCTCACTTGCTCTCTCGCTCTCAAAACTCCGCGCTGCAGAAAAGTCGAAATTCAATTTTTGTCTCATTTGTTGATTCTTGAATTATGTTGCCGAAAAGGAATCGTCGTAAAAGGCACATTGCGCACAACATTTCAAAAAGGGCTGTGGCGCATTGCGTTAGTTAATGGCCCGCGATTAATGCGATTGAGGTTCGAGTCCACTCTGAGGCGAAGTGGTTTCATTTTTATCTTCATTTTTCATTTATTTTACTTTGTTTTTATACCCTTGCAGAGGGTATTATGATTTCAGTCAGAAGTTTGCAACGCAGTGAAGGAGACGTTTCCGACCCCATAAAGTATATATATTCTTGATCAGCATCACTAGACGAGTCGATCTAGCCATGTCCGTCTGTCCGTCCGCTTCTACGCAAACTAGTCTCTCAGTTTTGAAGCTATCGCGATGAAACTTTCCCAAAAGTCTTCTTTCTATTGCAGGTAGTATATAAGTCGGAACCAACCGGATCGGGCAACTATATCTTATAGCTCCCATAGGAAGGAAACGTTAAAAAAATTCTAGCTTTGGTGTTTTTTGAAATATTACCTTCTACTCTTGAGGATATTATTTGTTAAATATTTCCGAATTTCGAATAAAATATTTAAAAAATCGGACGACTATATCATATAGCTGCCATAGGAACGATCGGAAAATTAATGGGAAAGTAATAGGAAATACATTTTAGCTTTTTTGGTTTTTATTGTATTCTTTTCTACTTTAAGACATGACTCTTTTTAAATGTTTCCGAATTTCAATTTTAATTTTATCAAAATCGGACGACTATATCATATAGCTGCCATAGGAACGATCGAAAAATTAATGGCAAATTAATTGGAAACAAATAATAGCTCCGTTGGTTTTTATTGTATTCTCTTGTACTCTAGGATATGATTTCATTTTAATATTTCAGAGTTTTGAATTAAATTTAACAAAAATCGGACGACTATATTATATAGCTGCAATAGGAAGGAAAGAACAAATAATATTAAAATAATACGAAATTTAAAATTTTTGCGATTTGTAAGTTAATAGGAATGATCTGCAAGGGTATATAAGCTTCGGCTGGCCGAAGCTAGCTTTCTTTCTTGTTTTTTTTTAATTTTTTGGTTTGTTTTTTAATTTTTTTTGTGTTTGTTGTTTGTTTTTAATTTTGTAAGTTCTAAAAGCAGAAGCATTTTGAGCAAATCTTTTAAATTCATTACTTTTGAATTAAAACACGCATCCGAGTTTACTTTTATAATTTTAATTTTTATTGAAGTATACAATTTAAATGCAATTCAGGGACCAAAAATAACAATAATTTTAGTTTTTAAACAAAAAAGCAAGCACACAATCCCTAGAAAGAAATGATTTACACCGAAATCATTCAATCCATTAATGGTCTTTACCTTTCTTTCAATTAAAAAAGAATATATTCAATGAACAATGTTTAAAAAAAAAAAATACTTAAAAAAAAAGGTTGCCTTCAGTCGGAGTTGAACTCGGTC